GCGGCGGTGTTTGCCAGCGAAGGCGAGGCACTGAGCGGCCACCGGCCGAGAGCGCCCGCGCGGCCACTTTGCGTCCGCCGTTCCACGAAGCACGCGGGAGGGGGGAGGGGCAGAGCGAGGATGGAGCAAGGTTGCGAGTCTCACTAAAACGGCGTCCGCTCACATCAGCACGCACTTGTCCTTGCGCCGTGTCGGCTTGTACTCCAGCACATACTTGAGCTGCACCTTGTTAATCGCGCCGCGCCGTCTCTTCCTGATGAAATCGACGGCGTCGCCTGCATCCACCCCCGCCTGCCGCGCGTGGGGGCGCTCGCGGTTGGAGGAGGCCCGGTCGCGAGGGACGGGCGCGCGGGCGGAGGGAGGAGGGCGACAACGGCAGCGGCGGTGCGCGGGAGGGAGGCGCGCTGGCGGCGGCTGGAGGCGGGCGCAGCGTGAGAGGCGGCGCCTCGATAAGCGCAATCGCAACCAGCAGCGGCGCGCGCCTGCAGCGCAACAAGCAGCAGGGTGCGAGGTCGGAGGGGGGGCGGGAGCGGGGCGCGAAATCGCGGGGCGAAGGGCGCGCCCGAGCCCTGCCACGCAGTGCACAGCAACGGTCGCCTCGTCCGCAAAGCACAGGTCCAGCCAGCGCGAGATGAGCGGTAGCGGCGGCGCCTCCCCGTCGGGGAAGCTGAGGTCGTGCTCGCTGATGCCCGCGCCAGCCACCTTGGCCGGGTCGTACGAGCACCCCTCGCAGCAGCGCACCCACGTGCCGACGCCGAGCCGGCGTGCCTCCTCGAGATAGAGAGAGAGGTTCGCATCTGTCGGCGCGTCCATGATGAGGAAGCGGCCACACTGGTGGTCGATGAACGTTGGCGGATTCTGCAGCCTTGAAGCAAGGCGCGCCATCGCTGCTCGTGATCGCGAGCGCCGCCGTGCGCATGCAGCGCGCCGCGCAGCGCGACGTAAAAGGGGAGCGCGGCCCTTTGGATGCAGAGCCCACCTTCTTCTTCACAGCCTTGTTATTGAGAAGAATTAGGTGCCCGGTAGGCTTGGCTGCAAAGGGGATTTTCGCGTTTTGTTTTTTTATTCAGGGTTTTGCAACTGATTCCGTTTGCAACAAACGGAATCAAGAAAAGAAACGACCGCAAAAGCAGGCGGCGTCTCATGCTCGACCAGGATCGCCGTCCCGGCGCGAGAATGCAGCCGGGCTTGCCGTCGTGCAGCCCTTTTTGCTTCGGCTCGTCGTCAGCGACGCGCCAGTCCTGGCGCAGCCGCCCCGCCGTGCGGTCCACGGCCTTGCAGCCCGTCGACGCGCCCGACGACGTGACCGCGGCCGAGATGGAGGCCTTCATGGACCACATCCAGCCGAGCTTGTACCAGCCGCCCGACGACAGCGACATCGCCCATGAATTCACGGCGTGGCTGGCGGCGCGCCGCGAGACGTTGCGGACCGCCGCCGGTGCAGGCCGCCCTCGCGACTCGCAGGCCGACGTCGCCGCACCCGACGCCGCCGGCGGCGAGGAGTCGCCCGACAACGAGACGGGGCGCGCGACTCCGCCCGCACCTGCGCCGGCGGCGGCGTCCGGCCGCCGGCGCCGGCGCAAGCCGCTCGCCGGCGGCGGCGGCGAGAAGGAGAACGCGGACGTCGAGATGGACGCGCTCATGGTCGAGCGGCCCCGGCCTGCGCAGACGGAGCAGCGCTGGCGCGCCGTCCTTGCCGCGCGCCACGAGGATTACGACCGGGAGCTCGAGAAGGACAACCCGGAGCGGCCGTGGCACAGGGTGCCACACTTCCAGGGCGACGTCGAGGCGGAGTGCAAGCTGTGGGCAAGGGTCTCGCGTGCGCTCGGCGAGGCATACGCGCGTGACGGCTGGCGCATCGAGACCATCGAGTTTGACCCCAAGCGACCCGGGCAAGCCAAAACCGCGCGCGCCACGCGCCACAAGAGGCTGCGGGAGGCGGCGAAGCGGGCGGAGAGCAAGGCTGCGGCTGCCGCCGCCGCCACCGCGACGCCGTCGCCCGCCGCCGCCGCCGCGGCGGCGGCGGAGGCCTCGGAGGGCGCGGCGGCGGCGGAGGAGCTGAACGCGGTGCGGCGAGCGCAGGCAGGAAAGACCGCTGCACGGCTGTTCGAGCAGCTGGAGGACGGCGAGGAGGAGGGGGAGGGGGAGGCGGCTCGCGAGGCGTCAGCGCGCACGCTATCCATCGCCACTGATGCCTTGCTGGGCGTTCTCGACGCGGCCGACGGAGGCACCGTCGAGACGAAGGACGCGTACCAAACGGCGGACAAGCCGCTGGGCGAGGGGGAGGCGACGGAGGCGGTCGAGAAGGACAACATCACCATCGCCTTCAACAGGACCATCGTCCGCGAGGTGCGGCGGCTCCTGCAGACGTACGGCGGCGATCACAGGCCGCCGAGCATGGGCGCTGAAATGCACTACGAGCTCGCTGCGATGGAGGGCCCGTACGCTGACCCGAACGCCTTCTCGTGCGACCCGGACTCGCTGTCCACGCAACAGCTCGACGCGCGTTTGCTACTGTGGTACCGGCAGTGCCTCCCCAAGCCGCCGCAATGGCGCGCCGACCCAAAGCTCAAGCAGCAGCCCTGGCGCGGCGCCGATGGGCAAGAGCTGCTGCTGCCGCAGTGCTGGCCGTCGCATTGGCTGACGCGCGCGCGGCTGCTCGGCGCGCGGCGCGGCGTCGCGCTGACGCTGCGCGAGGCGGACGCAGAGGCGCACGGCGAGGCGCCGCACGCGCCGCAGCTCGTCGCGGACGCAAAGTTCGCGTTCGAGGTGGCGCTGCGCGAGCAGCAGCCCGCAGGCGCTCTCTATGAGAGCTACCGCCGCCTAGCGGCGGCTCTCGCGCACTCGCGGCGCACTCGCGCGGGGCTCGCGCTCCGCCACCTGGCCCTTTGCCCGGCGTGCAGCGACGCCCTCTGCTTCCCGGCGCAGCACCTCCCGGCCGTGACGCGCTACACGCTGCCGCCCGTGGTGCAGCGCGCCGGCTGCAGCGATTGCGACTACTTGGCGATGCGGCGCATGCTCGCCGCCCGCACGTCGTCGTACAACGAGTGCACCGCGAAGGACGCGGCGGAGTGGCTGCGCGGGCTCGAGCAGGCTGACGCCGTCAAGCACGCGTGGGGCGTCGTCGTCGTCGACGCCATCAACCGCCCGCCCCACGCGGCGACGCGGCTCGCCATCATGGAGGGCACGTTCGACCACGACTCCTTTGCCGCGTTCCTGCGGGCGACGCCCGGCGTGGCCGTGCCCTACTGTGGGGCGCATGGGCCGCCGCGGTCCGCGGCGGACGATGCGCCGATGCCGGGCGCGCCACCGGGCGCGCCGATGCCGGGCGCGCCGATGACGGACGCGCCAATCCCGGGCGAGCCGCCGGCCCCGGCGGCGGCGGAGGATGCGCCGATGCCGGGCGGCGGGCAGGACGCGCACCGTAACGGCTGCGCGTGCCCCGGGGGCTGCCT